CGCGGCGGGGGCGGCGGCGGCCCGCCCTCGGTGGTCATCTGGGACCCGTGAGCCAGGCCGGGCCGCGGGGGCGGGCCCGGGGCCGGGAGTGGAGGCGCCGGAACGGGGTCGGCCCAGAAGCCCGGCGAGCGCCCTAGACCGCCGCTCGGGCTGCAGCGGTGGCCACTGCGAGCCAGAGCTTCGGCGTTGCCTCCCTCAGCTCCGCTGGGGCTTCTGGCGGCGGCGGCGGCGGCGGGCCGGAGGCAACGCCCGGCGCATCCCTCCCCGGAGCCTCGGGCCCTTGTCTTGCGCAACGGCCTCCGGTCCCGAGGAACCAAAGCGGCCCTGCGCAGGGCAGCTGCGCCCGAGAGCTGGGACCGCGGCAGGGACCCCGGGGACGAGCCCGACGTCTCCCTTCAGGAGCGCTCCTCGCTCTGTCTCTCAGACTTCCTCCCTCCCGCGCCCTCCCCCCGGCCGCCCTCCCTCCCTCGCTCCGTCCCTCCACCCCCACCCCGCCCTGCCCCCTCCACTCTCCGCGCCGCCTTGGGGAGGGAGCGCTCGGCCTCAATGCTCACTCCTCCCCCCTCCCAACCTGGCTGCAGTCTCCAGCTCTTATCTTGCTCCCCTCTCTCCAGGGTTCTCCTCGGCCTTTTAATTCTTCTCTCGGCCACTTTCCCTCTCACCTACCCACCCTCTTTCAAACTGAGGGACTACAGACTCATTCACATTTTGCTAGGACGACCCCCATCCCCAGCAAAACTCGACCACCTATAACTTTATGAAATCTTCTTTCTCGTTGCCCCTTATAGCACCCCTGCCTCTCATCCCCAAAACCAGCCAACCCCGCAGAGCGGACCCACCCATGCTTCTCCTCTCCGTTCTCCTCCCCCTTTCCCTCTGCTCTCTCCTCCGCCCTCCTCTCCCTCCATTCACCCCCACCCGGTCTTCATCCCCCTCCTCATATCCCTCCCACCTCCCCCTTTTCTCCTCCCCCTCCTCCTTCCTCCTTCTCCTCCTCCTCCTCATCCTCCTCCTGTCTCATCCTGGGCCGAATGGTGCGGCCGCTCGTGCTGGTGCTGCCCTCGCCGCCCGCCGGGAGCCTCCTTAGCTGCCTTCCCCCTGTGCCCGCACTGACACCATCTGTCAACTTCATTTAGACATTGCAGCCCTCACCACACGCCAGGGTGTCACACGCCCAAAGGTAAAGTTCCATCCTCTCTCTTTCTGACAGGGCCTGTAAGCTCCGCAACAGTTGCTTAGCAGAGGGCGAGAAGCTGGGGCGCCGCAGAGACTCCCCCCCCCCCCCCCGGGGGGGCGCCCCCCCCCCCCACCGCGTTACTGCGGAGGAGCAATCCTGGAGCAGTTTCAGAACTTTAAGCAGAGAGGTATAGATAGAGAAAAAACCAAAGTTTAGAGACTCTGGAAACCCAGTCGAATAGGATTCATGTTTGCGTTTGTTTCCACTTCCTTTCCTTTTTCCATCTGATGTTTTGAAAGAAAAGAAAAGAAAAAAAAAGGAAAGAAAGAAAAAATGCAGAAAGAAAGCTGACACTGAGTGAGATAAGTAAGATAGCTGTATTTATATTCAGTCCTGAAGGGGTAACTGTCACTACATTTACAATCCTTAGTCTCAATGCTGTCCACCAAAAAACTGTGCCATCTTGAAACTACCTTATGTAGGAGAACACTCCACCCCAGTGTGGCCAATTCTTCTCTAAGTAAGAGTCAGGCTGGGAGAGAGGATGTGCCCTCGGGAGGAATCACTTCCAATGAGACCCGACAGTTAGTTATTGGATTACACGTGCAAGGAAATGTAGTCTGACCAGCGACAGGGGCTGGAAGTGGGAGGAGGAGAGCCGGAGGCCTGGGAGCTGGCCTGGCCACACAAGGACTGATGGGGGAGGCCCAGAAGGGAGGTGCTGCAGACCAGAGGACAAAATGGGAGGCTGGGCTGGGCACCCCTCTGTGTCTACTCCAAAGGGACTAAGGTGCAAGTATGTGTGCTGGGGAGCCTGAGGGGGGGTAGGACAAGAGAATCTGAGATTGGTCCGGGATCCAGAGAAAGGCCAGCTGCCAAAAGGCTTGGAACAGAACCGAGGCAGTGGGGTGGCACTAGCTATCTGTGCCCCTGGAGATACTGAATAGAGAATCTGCTCCTGACTGAGTGTGCTGGTGGGGCTGTTGAAGCTGAGGAGAGGGAGGAGTGGGAGGGGGGAAGCTGGGGGCTGGGCTGGGGCTGGCCCCAGACAGTGACCTGAAGTTGAGTGGAAGCAGGCTTTTTCCATCAAACCCTGCCTGGATACCACACACAGAGACCGAGTGTCAGTTTACTGCCCTGAGCCGGGCTCCTTTTCCCTAAGCTCCACAGTAATTAGACAAAGAAAACCTAAATTAGCTGAACAGGCGTCGACAGCTTCCTCCAGAGCACCCCTGGTACCTACATGGGAATGTGTCCGAAAATGGCTTGATTGTAGCCGAGAGTCAGCTAAGAAAACACGGCTAAAATGAACTCAGTTTACCGCTCATTTCCAATAGAAAAAAGAAACAAGTCAGTCTTTTCCGGATGGGATGTTTTGATTGAGTTGGGGTAGGGGTTTTGCAGTTGTTTCTACTTCTAAGAATTTCTTTCTGAGTGACTTGGGAGCATATTTTGGGGATGGATACCCATTTATTCATGGTATTTTTTCTCTTACCCCCTTTTGTCATTTTACATGGAATAATTTAAATGTAAGTAAGTATACATGGTAGGCTCACTACATCAATGCTTTAAATGTCTGAAAAATAATCAAATACAACAGAAACTGGAGTGAGGAGGACACATAGTATCTAAAAGGAATCCCACTGACATAGCCTTCAGTGTGTGTGTGTGTGTGTGTGTGTGTGTGTGTGTGTGTTTAGTGGGAAGAGAATTGGCCCAGATGGAAACATAAGGAAAAGGAAGGCAATCATCTTATTTGTAGGTGGGGGTGATGGACAATAGATTTTTGGAAAATTCAGCAAGCAAGTCAATATCACTGTTGCTGAACCCTCTCTGACTGTCCACACCTAGGAATTCTATGTACATTGGATCTCAGACCCTAAAAGGTTTTAGGACCCAGAGACTGAAGAATAAAAACCACCTACCCTAAAATCCAAGCAGGCTAAAATAGCAGGGATTTTTAAAGGCTCCCTTTCCTATCCAATCCAAGTGACAATGGTATCCATTTTACTTAAACTCTTCAAACTTGCAAGAAATACCACTTATACTTTGCTGAGTGTTACAGGAGGCTAGACAGGTCTTAGAAAGACTGTAGGCATTGTAGTTACAGTTCCAGCCAGGAGCAGCTCAGCTGTCTTGAAGCCTTTTTCTCTCTCCGGGGATCTAAATACTACTCTGCACTCCACAAAAAAATATGGAGGTTGGTGACCTTAGTTATCTGAGCAGGAAGAGGCTTTTCTCTGAAATTCTTTCTTGGAGACCCCACTTTTGCCTATGGAAACTTCCCCTGACAGGGACCCCCAAGTCAAGAAATACTAACCCCCGAATTTGTTCCTTATAGACTTCACAGGTAGAAGCTTTTCCACTCACATCATGTCACCACCACCTGACCTAAGTACAGTTATCTTCGCTTAGCCATTAGGAGACTGGGGTTCAGAAAGATCAGATGACTCACTGCAAGTCACACCTGGGGAAATAACAAAGCTGGCCTATAGTGGGGGGGGGGGGGGGATCCCAAACCAGTGCTGCTTCCACACATTGCAGTGAAACCTCTCAACTTTGTTTTAATTACTGATTTATACAGATCTCCTGGGTAAGAATGCATGCAGTAACAAGTCATGTCAAATTCTTTATCCCTGGCAAGAATATCTGAATTTCTGTTTAGCAGACAGTTTAAGAGGAAAGTTGTCTCTGCAACATATCCTTGCTTAGGACAGTTCCCTCTCTCCGAAGTCCTTTCTTATGGTGGTGAGCTCTTCCTTACTTCCATTGCCTTATAAACAACAAAAATCTAGATTTATTTTTTCTTACTGGAAGGAAAGGTATTATGGTTCGTTAAAATGAATATAGATGAGCCCAGGCTGCTCCTTGCTTAACAAGGACAGGCGTCGAGTGCAACCGCCCTCTGTCCATACTCGGTGCTCTGACCCTCTTTGGTTGACTGTGTCCGCTTGGGCTGCGGGTTCCTTTCCCGCTCCAAACCCCAAGGCCCCGCCCCTGCTCCTGCGCTGGGGAATGTAAACTTTGGGAAGCTTGGGTTTCTCCGATTTTGTTTTGTAATCGGCGTTTCATTCTAGGAAATCTCTTCATTATTGCGGTTTAGATTTTATGTTCTTAGCATACTTCCTCTGCTTCGTGGGTTTTACATGAAATGGCTTAGACTAAACCAGTTACCCACCGGAGAGACGCATCCGCACCGACACTGTTTACCGCCATCCAAGACCTCTCCTCCTCGGGACACTCTAGCTCTGCTTGCCCCTCCCTTCCTTCCGTCAGCCCGGCAGGAGCAAAGCCTCTTCCCAAATCGGCCTGTAACTGACCACTGTATTCACCCTGTGTTTTGGTACAAAGTTAATATGTGTAGAGGATTCTCTAGCTCCTGCGAGGCCTTTGTAGATGGGGACGGTGGGAACTCAATGCTGAGGCGCAGGGAGTGTCAGCTTGTTTGAGGAAACCAAGGAAGACCAGGACCCTGCACGACGCAGAGGCCCCCCTAGAAATTTTAATTTATAGTAGAAAATCTGGCCAGGAGGCCAGGAGGCCAGGAGAAGGCGCTCAGGAGAGGGGAACTTGGCAAGGAGGGTTAATGGTGGGAATTTTACACCCTTCTCAGTGTCTGCTCTTCTTCCTCGGTCCAGAAACCCCCAGACCTCCGGGCTTGAATGAACACCAGCCACCCAATTCCAAATGTTTATTTGGATAGATTCTTCCGCTCTCCAAACGCCTGTCCCGGGCAGGGCTTTTAATAGCCACCTTCCTGAGAGATCCGCGGAAAGCCCCCATCTCCTGGGCCTGGAGGTAGACCTGATTTGATACCTGGCTTGGCCTAGTCTGAGGTGCTTGAGGAGGAAGCAAAAAGGGGTCCAATCTTCCAGAGCCCCATATGGCGACTGCGCCTTTTCCTGTCTCCACACTTCTCAGATTTCGAGGCCCTAGAGCCCTTCAGTTGGGAGACACTACTTTGGTATACTTCCAGGAACAGGACCCATCTGCCCTCAGGCCCTGACCCGGGTGCCAGCGCATTGGTACCAGGCAGGGCACCTTGAGAGCTCAAGCGGACCAGTGGACCACCCTTAGGCTTCTTCCACCGCCTACTGAGTTTATGGGTGGGGCTTGAGAAGAAGGTTTCCATTGTAGGCATTGCCATTCCTCCTAAAAGGCAGCTCTGATGCCTTCAGCAACAAGAGAAAAGGGGCAGTGCTGGGAAAGACACAGTCGGTGCGCCCCTCCGACGGGGCAGGAATGAGAGGACTCCCAGCAGCGAAGGAAAATTAGACAAGCCTGTCCCACACATTCCCAGTGTTGGGAGAAAAAAAGGCAGAAGCAAGTGTGGGTGCTGGTGCCCCTCAGCACGGAAATTTTGCATCCACTTGTGCTGCTGTGAGGGAAGTCCCCGTTGATGAAACAAAACAGTGAAGCCAGGGCCTCTCAGGATATTTTGAGCTCGGCATTACTTCTGCGCCCACCTTGCTGTGCCTCCAGCCTCGGGGCCCGCGCGCCCCCTACTCTGTGGCACCACGCTTTTGAGGCGCCCCTCGCCCACTGCTTCTGCCTGTTTAACCAGGCTCAGGAGGAAGGTGGCTGGGCCCCACGCGCTCAGCGCACAGCCAGCCGGAGGGACAGGACCACCTGGGAGGCGCCCTTGGGTCCGGAGAGGTTAGCCTCAGGCACTGAACGAGGGAGGACGCTCGCGGTGGGTTGCGGAATTCATCAGCCAAACGCGTCCGGAGGTTGCGAGGATTTGTCTCCAACGCCCCCCGACGTAGGAGCTTCGCCGGCCCGCTGTGGGGCGGCAGGTCGGGAGGCGCCCTGGAGGTCCCAACTCAGCCGTGGTCGGTTTTTCTTCACGTGTTTGACTTGTCTCGTCTCCCTTTGCCCTCCCCTCCCCCCAAATAAATAAATATCTCCAAGGGCAGCGAACTCCGCGGGCGCCGGGCCCTGCGCGCCGCGCCGCGATGGATGAACTTCCTGGAGCATCAAAACTCCCCTCCTGTCCTCCCTGCTGAGCTCAGGATATGGGGCGCGCTTGCTTCTCTTCAGAAAAGGAAACGTAGCTCTTCCAAAAATATAAATCAGCGCTGACGTCCAAATATTTCTTTTGTCCTCCAGCATCCTCTGTGGGAATAAATAAAACGTGCTCGGCGCCCAGAGCCTGACTCGGGACCTCAGGCGCCCAGACGCCGCCTTGGAGGAGCTGCCTTTCGGGAGCCCTTCTTGTCATCCATCCCCCATTACTCTCCTCCCTGCCCCCAGACCCCGATCTGGCAGTGGATCCCTGTTTTGGGTTGCGGCCTGACCCTTGGTCGTGGAATGAGGACAGCTCGTTGGTGGACCCTGGGGCGCAAAGGACGAAAGGCCCGCCAAGGCCAGCACCGGGGGAAGCCAGCGCTTGCCAGTGCTAGGACGGAAGAAGAGACCGGGAAAACACCGGAGACCGTGGCTCTCTGAGAAAGCTGAGGCCTCCTATCCTAGACGAAGCCCCAAAGCTGCCTCTCTAAGCTGGCCTTGCTTTTGAGATTTCCAGTCTTCCCAGGGAGCTAGCAGTCGCCCGTTTCCCTATCGGCATTCAGTAGTCCATGTCTGCGGCCTACACGACCCTGCGTGGGGCATCTCTGAAGGCTGTTGCCCATGAGAAGGAAGGGGGCTCTTCAGCGTCAGAGGCCACCTCATTTCCTTGGCTTGGTTCTAGGTGTTGATCCCATGAAAGCCAAGGGATGGCTTGAGCCAGATCATCCTTACTCCCCACCCTAAATCTCCCTCCTCCAATTTGAGAGAGATGGACAGATTTTGTTTGGGGCTTCGAAAAGAAATCTATAGAAAGAGAAGACTCCTAGTGCATCAAGACGGACTGATGCTGGCTCTGGAACCTCCACTTCCTGCTCTCTTGACACCCTGGTGTTGAGAGCCCACCAGCCTTTCGGCTGTCACCCCTCCCTACCCCCACTGAGTCACCCTGCGGCATCCTTGCAGTGAAGCCCAAAAGGGTTCCGTGGCTGAAGGATCCTGGCAAGGAGTCTCCACCTGCCCGGGGCCCCATTTGCCCTCTCTCACTCCCTCATACCCTTCCCCTTGGCCGCAAATATTCTTTTCCAGGCCTGGTTCCTCCAGGCCGGGAGGTGGGGGCCGTTTTCCAGCTGCCCCCTCCCCTCTCCAGGGGGGTCTTTATTGATGAGCTGCCTGGAAAAACCCCCGCCCAAAACGTCCCAGAAGGGTTTAGACAATCCATCACCTACCACTTCAAGAATGCTTCCTCCCTTTCAAACACAATCCTCGCACACCAGGCGGGCTGCGGTGGGGAGGGGCGCGCACTTGAAAAGAAAGCAGCTATATAATCAACGTCAAACCATCCCGCAACCTTTCGGAAACAGGGACTCAGGCCAAAAATCTCTCCAAATGATTTACGCGGCCCTCGTCGCCCTCCCCTCCATCCTCTGCTTTGACTCTCCCCTGTGCTTGCCGTCGCGCGGCCGGCACGGCAAACGCATATCCCTACTCTGCATTGAACATCAACACTAAAAGCTTTTCCGTGGCCGTAGTTTGCATTTTAGGAGAAAGCGTTTTTCGTCTTGGGGATCAAGGGGACATACTTTGGGGCCTGGTCAGAGTGCCCTTGCTGGTGGGGAGGAGTGAACTGGGAAGACTGGGCATGGATTTTTGGAATCGTCAAATGAGTGTCACCTTCCCCCCCCCTCCAAAAATCCTTGGATTTTGCGGTGTTGCGGGCTGCGCCTCCCCTTTTCTTGGGTGCAATTGGAGGAAAAGCAGGAGTTCTTTTCATTTCCGCTGGGTGGCGCCAGGCTCTCGGAAATCGTGGTCAGAGAGGCTGCCCTGCGCTCCTCCAAAGGCGCAGCTCCCTCTCCCTCACCTGCCCAAGGTTTCTGACGCAGCCACTGAGGTCCGGGCTCCCCGCAGCCGCGTGTCCCAGACCCTAGGTTCCTTCAAAAATTATCGTCTGCCTAGTACTGGGTTGACCATCTTAGGGTACCTTTCCTACCCCCGCATGCCGTTAACATTTAAAGAAGAAAATAAGTTACGTACTTGGCACTGCTCTGTCGAAGTGCGCTCTCTCCGTGGCAATCATGCTTACGCCATGCTGAAGAAATTCAGGATTCAGTGCAGCTGTTTTGGTTTCTTGAAGCAAGGGGCAGAAGGCTGGGTCTTCATTTGTAAGTTACATACCCGGAGCTCCTGGCGTTTTCCTGACATCTAGTAGAAAAGAGACAGACCACCGAACGTTTGGTGAAGCCAGTTCCAGTCCGCTGTTCAGCAAGGTATCCTGGAGAAGGCACTTTCTTCTGCCTTAGCGTTCTCATCCGTGAAGAGGTTCCAAGAACTCTTTCTCCTCTTCTGGGTCTACAGTGACAGTAATACGACTTTTTGCTTTTATTATTTCTCATTCCTTTTGGCTGAAGAAAGCCAGGCAGCTTCCTAAATTTTTGCTGGTGAAAGTCTACGAGATAAGGGGAACTTTGGAGGTCCTGTTGGGGAAGGCTGAATACAAAAGACAGGCGATCAATAGGTAAGAGTGAACTGGGATTCCAGAAAGCCAAGGGAACTAGATTTCGGACCTGAGCCGAAGATGTCAACCACTGGTCTTCCTCTGCAACATGGTATCATAAGGAACTAGTTTTTTCTACTGTAACTGACTTTTACTTTCAAAATTCTAAAAATGAGATTTATATACAATAAAGCACACTTATTTACATGAAAAAAATGAGATTTTATTTTTCTTTTTACACTTTTATTTAAAATGAAAAGGCTCATAGTACCCAGAAGTAGAGAGGGTATACAATAAGCTCTCTCTTCAATATCCATCATCTAGATATAACAATTATGAAGATTTTGCCACACTTGCTCCATTTTTCTTTTCTATTTTCATTTTGCTGAAATATTTTAGGGCAAATCCAGACATCATGTTTTAAAAGTGCACCTTATTACTCCTAAACACACCCACCAGTTCTAGCTCTTTCATACCTAAAATTATATTTTGGTGCAGACAAGCACACTTCCTTGGGGAAATTGGAAATAGGCTGGAACATTGTTCTGGATGTGTATCTTACAAACAGAACTCTCCATCTTTCTCCCCCCTCCTCCCAAGTGACTTCCAGCCCCAAATATCTAGAGTTTCTCCTGGCTGCTAAAACTGCCAAGTATACAAACTTTCCCTCCCCCACCTTCACTGGGGTTGGGTGAGTGCTTTAGCAATAAGCTGTGAAAAGGGGAGTTAACCCCACATTGCTTCCATATATGCATACCAGATCACACATACAGAATTTATCACAAGATCACACGTGGCCTTTGAATATATCTATCCCTATGTATGTGTGTATATGTTTATCCATATAGTATACTATCCATATAGTAGTTTCCAAATCACTTACCCAGACCAGGAAATAATTTTTCATACCATTTGGAAGTGCTTGTGAGAAGATTTTGGGCTAGGGTGGAGGGGGAAAGGGATCCTGGGGGATGGCCCACTGGTTGGTCTGTATCCCCAACCCTCAGTCCACACCAGGACTCTGTACAAATATTTCAGAAATATTTGTTATTGACTTGTCTGATTTTTTCTGCTCCCTCAAATAATATATGTTACCTTTGTTCTTAGCATTTCCCTCATCCTCAGAGCAGATGAATAGTGACATGATGCTCATAGGTGTCTTTAGATTTTGTTTGACAATTGCACCTGCTCCTGATGACCTTGAATAAGTCTGAGCTTCAATTCCTACTCTTTTTTTTGTAAAATGGAAATAATAAAAATTTAAAAACAATACGTCCTTCTGTGATGATTACAAAGATGAAATAAAAATTGTAAAAGTACTAACATTTTGACATATACACATTTACACTAATATATTTGGCCCAATCCAACAAAAGCGCCCTTTAGTCTTAAGGTACTTCTTTAAATTTTAGGCGTACTTGAGAAATTTCCTTCCCTGAGCAATCGCTTATATGCTCCTTGGTTTTGTCCCTAATAAGGAAATGATGGTGGGTCCATTGTCTACAAGTTTAAGTAAGTCCGCCTCTGAGGGCTGGGGTCTCTGCTCTCTGAGTGTGTTCAGGCTGAGGGTGGCGCTGCATGGCTCCACAGTGAACGGCTAATACTCCCTGGGAGTGGGGAAACGTTTCTCTTAGACGGGATCACGCGGCCCCTGGAGGAATCCGACTCTTTCGCAGCACCCGGGCTCAGACGCGCGCCCTCTCAGTGCGGTGGGTCCATGCCCGGTGGCCCGAACAGGGTACTGTGTGGCCAGGGTGCGGTGTGTGTGTGTGTGTGTGTGTGTGTGTGTGTGTGTGTGTGTAGAGCTGAGCTCTGTCAGAGGAGCTCACTCGAGTGACTACCTCGCGGAAGCTCCCGCTTAATAATGTTAGGTTTTTGAGCGGCCCAAGTCTGTGTGACTTGTTTTGGCTCCTTGGGGGACGAGCCATCAACAGCTGATTTGCACTCGAGGAATCTTTGGTTTTCGAGATCCCATGAGAAAAGCGTGAAAACGCGGAACAAAAACTTGCCGGCTCGTTGCAGCTTGAGCTGCCAAGGGCGCCTTGCAGATTCCTCGCGGACGTGGGCCGCCAGTACAGCGCCCACGGAGTTTGCTTGTTTTAAGCGGAATTGTCCTCCTTTCCCCTCCATTTCCCGTTTGCAAGAGGCGCAGACTCTGGACGGGCTTGTGTGGTGTGGTGGCAGGCGAAGAACCCTCGCCGTTCACCGTAACCACAGCGCCCGGGCAGCAGGGTGGGTCCCTACCCTCCTGTATGCCGGCGTACAAAAGGGCCACTGCTCAACACCCCTACTCCACCTCACTGGGCTCTCAAAGCTCTGAGTCTGAAACGTTACCTGCAATTTGAAATACTAAGGTAGTAAATGCTTTCAGTCCACTTAATTATTTTCTGTGTACGCCTCGCCCCACCCTCACCGCCCCAATACACCTTGCACATACCAGTTACCTGACCTTGAGCAAGTTAACTTTATTTTTCCGGACTTCACTTTTGTCATTTCTGTAATTGGGATGATAATAATAGCTTCCCCCATGGAGTTGCTACGAGGATTAAACGAAATAATACAAACCGAGCTGTAGAACAGCGTGCGGCACGTCGGGAGCGCTCAACACGCATTGGCCTCAAAACTGGCTGTGCGGATTCCTCTGACCTTGGACGGATTTCGGCTAGCGCGGCGGCAGAGCTTTCTCCCGGTGACTTCCGGTTGTGGTCCGAGGGGCAAAGGCAGAATTGGGCCCCTGCGCGTGTTCCAGCCCCAACCAAACTCTTGGGCTTTGTTTTAGTTTTGGGATTCGATTAAAAATTAAGCGTTAGAAAAGAAGCTGGAAGTAAGTGCAAAAAGGCCCCGGTAGGACCTTTGGGCCGAAGGCTCACGCCCGGAGCAGCAGCGCGCGGCGGCCGAGAGGCTTCTAAGAGCGACGGCTAAAGCGCGCTGGGGCGGGTCCATCTCTTCGGGAAGGGGACTTGCGGCTGAAGTACGACTTGGTATAGGGCTACTTCTCCGTGCCTCGGCCCCATCACTCGGTTCGCTTAGTGCGGTCAGATTGCTTGGGGTGCTGGGTGCCTTGGGCAGCGGTGCGCTACTGCAACCCCAAAGTGGGAGTGGAACGGAAACGCAGGGCACAGACAGAGGGCGACAGCCTCAGAAGCTGGGGGTGGAAAGCGGAGAGAGCATTTTCATTTTAGTGCCTTCGACGTTTCCCCTGTATGATCCTTGGCCAGGTTCGTCTCCGTCCAGGACCGGGCTCCAAATACTGCTTGGAAAAGGCAGACAATAAATGGCCATTCCTCGGCTGTCGGCCTTTGCTTGAGATCGGCGTGGTCCTCTCCAGGACAGAGGGCCTGAGTACAAAAGGCAGGCTGGCTCCTCCAAGGTCGAAAACGTCCCCCGCAGCGGGACACCAGGGGCAAAACCTCAGGCAGAGCCGCCTCTCTCAGGCACTTTGGCTAGGACGGCGTTCGTTTTCTGGACGCGGCTACTTCGCCGGACCAGGAGGGGGAGGGTAAGAGGGGAAGTGACCTCTTGAACCTCATCAAATGCAAATCCTATAAGAAAATTTTTAAGGAAAGAAAAGCGGAAGGACAGGGAAATGGAGAAACGCGGGGTCCACCTGAGGCTTGAATGGCCTTTTTAGAATTCCAGGCCCCTGGGGCTTGCAGACTTCTCTGCGGTAGACCGAAGATTGGTAATGAACTTTGGATTTTCCCTCAGGAGAGTGAAGCTACCAGCTGACTTCCTCCAATATGCATATTTTACATATATAAACACCTTAGCAGTTTAATAGCCATTTAAACAAATCATTCACATAAAATCTTACTCTTAAAACGATCAGGAACAAAATAGTTTTTCTTTATCCTAGTTCTTCTTCTTCCTTCTTTTCATTACCGTTTTTCGTAGCTAAGTTTTCATGTCCCAGTTGGTGGCCAAAGTGTTTTTATATGTAATTTTGCTGTCCGTTTAATTGTAAGGATCCACATGACTTTCCCTATCAGCATGGATCTAGGATAGATTCAGAATTTTATTTTCCCAATTGGAAGGATAATATATTTTTTGGAAAAAACAAATGACCCTTTTGTTTGGCTCTTGTGGGTTGTTAGCTAGGCCATGGGGATGCTAGTGGAGTGTTCCATCACACAATCCTAACGAGAGACTCTGCTGTGACCAGTTCTTGGCTTTAAAAAAGACTGACCTACTTGATGACTCAGATATTCACCTAATTTACTCTCCAAGTCTCTGGAGTTAAAATGTTAAGAATTTGAAAAGCTGTGAGTTTTCATTTGTCAACTTTTCATTAAGCAAAAGAGGAGGCTCATGAAGTTTTTTTTTTTTCTTCCCCCATGGAATGGAAATGATGTTTGAAGACATCAAAATATAAACGAAATTTCCCGGACCCATGTCTTGGAAGAAAATGGGTGTGGAAAGTTAAATAGGCCAACAGGGCATATAGGATTTGGAGATGGAGCCTGGGAGAAGCAGGGACTATGCAGGTCTTTTGGACAGGTCTTTTGCTTTTCTGAATAAGGGGGCAGAATGCCTTTGAAGATCTGCTCTGGTGACAGAGAGGGGTAAAATAAAGAGGGTAGAGAGTGACAGATTCTCTTAGGGAGTACTTTCCATTTGAAAAGGCAGGTTTAAGTATCACACATCTGGGGTTGGTTGCTTTCTGTAGATAGAGGGTGTATGTTGGCATCAGGCTGAGGGAATCAGCCTCGCTGAGCTCAGCAAAAAATAGAATATGATAAATGTCTTTTGTTTTTTGGATTCTACCTATGAACACTTCTGCAGTTGGAGCATTCTCAGAAAAGATAAGAGCTTGAAGTCCTTTCCATTTGTAAATCAGTTACAAAAAATGCAGATGAATTGGTGTGCATTTTATGAGCATGGAGATTTAACAGAAAGGAAAATAATGTAGATGCATATAGCAGGTAAATATGAGAATTTGTGTGTGTGTGTGTGTGTGTGTGTGTTGCTTTTTTTTTTTTGGCTTTTCATTTTCTAATATCATGGATTATGTGTAAATCCATAGTAATGTGAGAACAATATGTAATTTTGAGTGTCTTGAATTCATTTTAATGTATTCCTGATCCCTTTCTGACTAGGGAATTGTTTCAAGGTCAAGATTTGATTGATGTCTGGACTTCAGACATCTCAAGTTGGGCAGTACAGGTAACACCCCTTAAAAATTTTTTCCTGGCCTATATTACATATACTTGTCCTTA